CAATCCACTGCAATCACCTCGTTCCCTGAAGCAGCCAAAGGTTAGTTGCTCACCCTCATTCCCATGGATCTCTGCTTGCTCTCTTCCCATAAAAGGCAGAGGCCACACCCTAAGGTCCAGCCCTTCCACCCCTGACCCCCATGGTCATGACTTCTGACTACCCATTTCCTTCTATGTCTTTACCATCCCCAAATTTCTGGTGAGAGAAATAATATGTGAAGCAAAACACTCATTTTCAGCTCAATGGGGAATAGCACACTTAGAAAAAATGCTTCCTGGCCCTGTCTGATGCTGTTTACACAGAGAGGGAGGGGTCAGAGATTGGGTTGTATCAGAAAAACCATTTTCCATTCTGTGCCGAGGAATCTTTGAGATTGTCTTTATTGGATCCAGACTTCTCACCAGTTAACTGCCCTACAAACAAGGACACAGCTTTCTAGGGGAAGCTCTGCAGCTGGCTTTGATATTTGAGGGATGAGAGGAATGTGGCTTCCCCCTCCGGCCTTCCTACTAGTCAGGGAACTTGGTTGATAGGAAAAGATATGGTGGGGATAGAGGCAGGTGGTAGGTGAGGACTTGAGACTATTTCCCCTGGAGCCAGAGAACTCGAAGATGAGATGGAGACTTTGAGCCCAATTCTCTCAGGGGACAGGAAATGGATTCAAGAGGAGAGACAGAGATGGGAATAGGTAACAAGAGGACTTCCTAATTTCAGAGCTAAAAGAACAGAAATTCAAGGTGAGATGAAAGAAGATGATGGGGGAGGTGGACAGGACACTTTGAGAACTCGTGAAAAAGTGAGGAACCAAGGAGACTCCTGACCTGAGTTCAGAGTATCCTCTGGAAGCCTTGGGGAAGAATTTCTTGAGTATTTACAGAGAGATTCAAGAATCAAGGGGCAGCCTGAGCCATCTGCCCTAAAGCCATTGCATACATGAACTTCTGCCTTTGGGGTTTAGGATTATAGATCCTTTCTCTGAAGCAGTGTACTGGCTGGGTCTTGGGCATGAAGAAGCATCCAGCATACAGCAACAGAACTGGTGAAAAACAAAGAGGATGGAGGTCTCAGGAACTGAAAGGTGGGGCTCTCCATACACCCCAAGTTGTCTTGCTCTCTCTTGGAATCTTGTGAGATGATGAGATTCTTGAGACTCTAAGACCTGTGGCTAGGTCAGAGAGGAAAGACAGCTGGACCTAACAGTGATGGGGCAGGCAGAGAAAGCTCTAAAAGGAGAGTGGGAGCAAGGGGAGGGAGGGGAGGTGGCCTTTGAGGAAGAGGGGGAGCTGAGTCAGAGCCTGGGGGGGGGGGGGCAGAGAGATGGAGGGAAGGAGAATCAGGAAAGAGGTGAAAGCAGAGGAGGGTCTCCATGGAAATAAACTGGATCTCAGAAATCAGGCTTCTGGAGTGTGAGTTTGTTTGTAATAATAATACGAATTATTCTCTCAGCCTGAGGTCACTAGGGTGTGTAGGCGGGAGAAATTGGGAGTTAGGAAGGGGAAAATTGGGGGGTTTCGGAGAGGACTGTATTAATGTGTTCAGCCCTAAAGTGGAGTGGATGCGTGGGGTGGGGGTAAGGGGGCGGTAGTAAGGCAGGCAGAGGCTGGAGGAAGAGCGCCTTTCTTCCCTCCCCCTGTCAAAGGTAAATAAAGAGCGGGCCCTGCCCCGCCTGCCCCCGCTGACAGGTGCAGGCGGGTCCCAGGGTTCCTAGGCGGACCCCACCCTTCTGGGAAGCGGGCTCCCGACCCCTCTCGGGGCGGTAAACCTCCACCTCCTCCCCGAGTCCACAGCTCTTCCCAAGCACCCTGGCCCAAGCCCATTCCCTCCGGGCGTGGAACCCGTTCCCTCCCGGTGGCACACGCTCTTCCCGCCCCCGCCCCAGAGGGAAAATGCACGTGAACAAAGCAAATCGGGGGAGGCAGGAGCGACGGAAAAAGGCTACCAAGAGGGAAATGGTTGGGGGCAAAACACACAAGCCATACGGAGGGGAGGGTGGAGGGTGAGGATGGGAGGGGGCGTGCGGAAGAAAGTCAGGGCTCAGGCTGGAGAGGAGGTTCTGAGAAGAGGGGCTGCTCCAGAAAGAGGGGCGCCGGGAGGCTCTGGCCACGGCGGAGTAGACGCGGATGGCCTGGGGATGGAGGGATGCGGCCACCGGGAGTGGGGAACAGCGACGGAGCGAAGAAGGAAGCTGGTGGAGAGGTGATCGGGGAAGGACCGCGCCTGCGGGAGGGCGATGGAGAGAAGGCAACCAGCCGAGAGGGATGGAAGCCCTGGAGGCGCGAGGGCAGAGGGATGGAGGGACCACAGCGGATGGAGGGAAAGTGAAGGCGCGAGGCAGGGCCAGGCGAGACCTGAGGGAGGTCCCCAGGGGCGAGGATGGGGATGGGGGAGGGGGCCGGAGGAGAGCCCCGGGGCAAGCTTGCCCCCTGACCCGCGCCTGGCCGCCGTACCCACCCACAGTCCGCGAGCCGATGCAGCCCATGACTCCGGGGGCCGCCGGGGCCCGGCCCTCACCGACTCGGGGCGCGCGCCGGGGGGAGCACCGGGAGCCGCGCCGCCGCCCCAGCCGCTCTGCAGCGCCGCGGCTGTCTCCGCTCGGCTCCGCTCCCCCCTCCCCTCTCCATCCCTCCCCACGGCAGCCTCCGTCGCCGCCGCCGCCGCCGCCGCCACCGCCTGGCTCCCCCGCCCCGCTCCGCTCTCGGCGGCCGGGGAGGGGGCTGCTTGGGGATTGGCTGCGCGCGGCGTCTCCCCGCCCTGCCCCCGACCGGCAGCCGTGCTCCCAGCGCCCCTCGCCGCGTCCCTCCGCCTGTCCTTCGCAGCCCCCACCCCTGCGCTCCTCGCCCATCCCCGCTGGTGCTCCCAGGAGATGCTGATGGAGAGTGGATAATAACCGGCTTGGGTCTCAGGAGCCGGGTCAGGAACCCAGGGCCCACCCCTAGGATCTGCTTGATGGACTTTGAGGGCTGCGGGGTGAGAAGGCCGTGAGAGAAAGTGGGGCGGAGATGAGAGGACGCCCTGCTGAATAGCCTTGGGTACCAAATTCCGCAAACACTTGTTTTCTTCCTGCGGCTGCATCTGGGACGCACGAATCGGGATTGGATGCTGTTCTGGTTGCCTTGCGTTTCACGTGCGTTGCTTTGCCCACCCAAACAGATCGTAAAGTCTTTGCCAGTGGATGTTGCGAGATGCTTCCCTGTCCTCTAGCTGTTCTGGGATGGGTGTGGGGCTGGAGCAGGTAATCTAGCTCTAGGCCTGGGTGGGGATGGGAGGAGAATGGGAATAATTCTATTGCAGCTATAGAGAAGTGAAAATATCAGGACCCGAAACCGGCAACAAGACATGGTTTTAAATCAGATTTAACTTTTCTGAGCCTTACGTGGATGTCCGGAAGCAGCAAAGGGAGAATACTGCCCCCTGCCGAGAGGGGTCAGCACGGCACCACGGGCCCTATGGGAAAGGCGAGTCAAAGGGGCATATTATCACAACTGGCAGGAAGACTCTAGAAGACACACTAGAAAGGACAAGGAGACCCTTTCGTCTTAGCAAAACCAGTAACCGCAAACTGTGAGCACGCGGGTCTGGGTGGTACCACTGAAGAGAAGCCAACACTAATTCAGGATACAAATCTATAGGTTTTTGTAACCTTTCCTGGGTCTAGAGATGGGAGAGGACAATGGGGCAGGTGCCTTTGTGGGTTTGAAGCAGAGAGAAAGGGCAAGTCTTACAGATGTAAGTTTGTGACATTTAGATTATGATTGAGAAGTTACATCCTGTGAAACCCCAGATGAATACGTGGGAGAGGATACTTTTTTTCATTTTCTGGTGCCATAACAAAATGCCTGGGACCAGGAAGTTTATAAAGAGTAGAAGTTTGTTTGGAGGCTGGGAGGCCCAGAGCCCGGTTTAGCAACTACTGCAAGTGAGGGCCTTGATGCATTGTACCATTCAGAGGACATTCTACGGTGAGACAGGATGATTGTGTTAGCACGGGCCTCTTTCTCTCATAAAGCCACTAGTGCCAACCCCTGTGACCTCATCTAATCCTTATTATTGCTCTAAGACCCTGACTCTAAATACCATTAACATATGAATTCAGGGATTAAGTCCAAGTCATGGGTTTGAAGGGCCACTTGTAAATTCTACCAGGCACTGACACTAACTGCAGATCTGGAAGGTGGACTTGGAACAGAAGAACACCGGGAGCTTGGTTCTGGCCAGCTGCCTTCTGATCTCTGCAAAGACAGTGACTTCTCACCACTTAGAGGCATTCTCTGAATCTTTTGAGCTGGGGCTTAAATGTTCCAGTTCTCATAACTGAAACAAGCTTCCTGGAAGCCAATTTGACAGTACTACTAATATATATATATATATATATATATATATATATATATATATATATATATATATATATATATATAAAAATATTTAAAATCTGCTTTTACACATTATACCTTAACACAAGCTATTCTGAAGACCTAGTGGAAAGTCTGAGAATCCAGAAGGGCTGTGTGAGCACTTGCCTAGAAAATGCAAGGTCCCAGGTTCAATTCCCGGGAACACACCCTGTCCTAATCAGCTTTCTATGGCTGTGATTGTAGTAGGAAGATTTCCTGTGTCCCGGCCTGCCACTTGCCAAATCTCTCCCACTCGCGTCCCCCAAGTAAACACACAGAGGCTTATATTAATTATAACTGCATGGCCATGGCTCACACCTTTTGCTAGCTAGCTCTTACATCTTAAATTAGCCCATAACTATTAATCTATGTATCTCCACATGTTCCATGGCTTTACCTGCGTCCCATTACATGTTGCTCTTTGGGCAGCTCGCTGGTGTCTCTCCCGCCTTCCTCTTGTTTCTCTCTTTGAATTTCCTACCTGCCTCTAAGCTGCCTTGCCATAGGCCAGATGGCTTTATTTATCAACCAATCAGAGCAACACATATATGCAACCTACAGAAAGACATTTCCCCCATCATGTGATAAACACAATGACTGAAAGCAACTTGAAAAGGAAAGAGTTTATTTCATCTTACAGCTTATAGTCCATCATCCAGGGAAGTCAGAGCAGGCGCAAGGCAAGAACATCAAGGCAGGAACTGAAGCAGAGGCCATGGAGGAATGCTGCTCACTGGCTTGCTCCCATGACTTGCTCTGCCTGCTTTCTTAGATAACCCAAGGCCCCATACCTGCCCAGAGGGGGTCCCACCCACAGTGGGCTGGGTACCTGAGACTTGCCTACAGGCCAATCTGAGGGAGGCATCTTCTCAATTGAGGGTGCCTGTTCCCAGATGACTCTAGTTTATGCCAAGTTGACAAGAAACAACAACAACAACAACAAAAAAAACAACAACAACCTAACTAGCACACACACACACACTCCTTAAATCCTTAACAGTGCATAATCCATATGCACTGTTCTTGTTGTAAATTATACATTTATTCTTTTTATACAAATATTCTAAGGAAAAAAAACATACAATATGGACAAAAATTTAACCTGCATCTCTTACAGCACAACTTACGTTATGCCTGGAACGAACTAGGTAAATTGTACATATCTGTAACAAAATAGTATGTGACCCATAATAATGTTTCATAACTACATTAGTTGGCATGGAAAATCATTCATAACAGATTTTAGTACTATTAAAATCAGGCTATAATGCAAAATTATAGTTTTTAGTTTTTGTTTAAAATACATACATATCCTTCCTGCCTTCCTGATATCAGTCTTTCTGTCCAAATAACTGATGGAATTTCCTGAGCAATGGAGTTTTACACAACTCCAACCTAACCAAAGATTACAGTTTGATCCTCAACAAAACCCTTATATTAATTGGTTCATTTCCAAAATCTTCCAATACAAGGCTTTGGCAGAATGCCCCTGTGTGACACATCCTACCTGGTTCCCTTTGGGACACAATCCCAAGGTGAAACCATGTCTTCCCTTCTCTTGTTACTAGTGCATGCCTGTGTCTCCTTGGACCAGCTCTTGGACAGAAGGACACAATCAAGTTAAGGGACAATACTGTATATTATGCAGATTCTTGTCCCAGGATCCATGGACAGAATGAAAAAAATCCATAACCTTGTATGGGAAGAAACTACACTTATATTCAATAGCAGGTATTTACTTGAGCTACACATATAGGCAACAATCCACAATAGTGTTACAGGTAGTGTGTCTTCATCACCAGTCAAAATCACAAATGCTTATATTACAAAACAGTCTCTGGTAGTCTTTATATTCATCACTCCTTTGAAATTATTAAAAAATATATATTTAAAATTGCATCTGCTTTTACACCTGTTATTAATGATTTTACTGAGAAGCAATGGAGGTCTCAGGGATATAACTCATGGATAGAGCTCTTGCCTATCATGCATGAAGCCCTGAGTTCTGTTTTGTTTTAGTTAAGCCAATGATAATTATTTATTTTTTGAGAGTTTTACATACATACACAATGTGTTATGATTACATTTAGCTCCTACTACTCTTTATTATCCCTTTTCCTGTGAACTCCATCTTCTCCCTAGAACCCCAGTGGTTATACCATTGAAGAAAATGACACCCTCCTCCCCTATTCTGGCAACCATTAACAATCAACAGCTCCAGAGGAAGGGCCTTGCAGGAACCTTCCCTATCTGTAATGGAATGCTGAAGAGCCAGTCTTTTCTAGGTATCCATAACTGTTGTGTGTCCATGATACCAGCAGCCATGGAAGGCAGCATTTCATGGAATGCCTCATCTCCAGCTCTTGAAGTCTTCATGGCCACTCTTTCACAATATTTGATCCTGGATATGATGATAAAGACCTCTAATAGCATTTTACTGTAAAGTGAGGACAAGAGGATCAGGAATTCAAGATCAGCCTTGGCTGTAGAACAAGTTCAAGGTTATCTGGGCTATATGAAACCCTATCTAAAAATAAACAAATAAATATAAAAAGCATCTATGTTACTATATTAGGGATCCAGGGCATTGAAAAATACTTCAAGCCTCCTGAACTCTAAATATATACACAGTGGCGGATTCTCTTATTCTTTGGGGGTTTAATCTGATTAAAAGTCACAAATGGAATGACCAAGTAATACACTGGGATTTTCTGGAGATTGGTGGTGTGTGCTTCCTTTCATTGGGAGGACTCTAAGAGGGCACTTCAGCTCAGAGGATAAACAGTTCTCACCACACACAGTCCACACACAAACCTCTTTTGCCCCACTGCCCAACCCTGTGGTGTTCCTCAGCAACAGAGAGTGCCAAAGCCCTGCAGCTTCATGGCCTGTGTCTTTGTTTTAATGGGAGACATCAGATTAAGATAAAGAACTAAGAGAAGTTCCAGCTGAGTTCAAAGTTCAAGAACAGGCAAGATTAGTTCCCTGGGCAGGCAAAGAGGTGGGCGGGGGCTCACACACAGGGAATCTGCACTGCTCCTCCACTCCAGCAGAGGGGATATGGGCCAAAGCTAGCAGGTCACATGGCTTTAGCATTAGGAAGATGAGGGATTCCCATCTGATGGCATCTCTTTCTGGAAAGCAGAACACAAGCTTATATATTGAGAGTCGGGGCATGGGAGTGGCAGAGGGGAAAAGATAATATGCAAATATCATGTTGCAGCTGGAGAAGACTTTTCTGCCTATACTTACTGAAGCCCAAATAGGAAGACATATCAGCCTTGCATTTGAGACCCTTGTGTGTGTGTGTGTGTGTGTGTGTGTGTGTGTGTGTGTGTGTGTGTGTGTGATATGTGTATCCATATTAGCGTGTGTCTGTGTGCACGTATACAGAGGACAGGAGTCAATGTGGGCGTCTTTCACTGTTGCTCTCCACTTTATCTTTCTTTAATGTTTGTTTTGTTTTTATGGGTATGAGTGTTTTAGCTGTGTGTACTTTGATTGCCTGCAGGGGCAAGAAGAGGGTGTCAGATCCCCTGGAACGGGAGTTACACTCAGTCAGGAGATACCATGTGGATACTTGGAATTGAACCAAGGTCTTCTGAAGGAGCAGCCGGTGCTCTTCACCACTGAGCCATCTCCCCTGCTCCTCAACCCTATCTTTTGAGGCAAGGCCTCTCAACGAAGTAGGTGCTCACTGATTGGGCCAGAGAGTTCAGGGGATCTGCCTCGATCCCCCTCCCAGTCTTCCCCACCAATGCTAGGGTTACAGATGCACACCACCACACCCAGCTTCTCTGTGGGAGCTGGGGCTCTGAACTCAGGTCCTCACGTTGGCACAGCAGGTACGTTACTCCTTGAACTATCTTTTCAAGTCCTTCAATTGTCTTTCTTGTCTCCAAGATTATGCAGCTAGAAGAAAAGAAGCTAGAGGTTACACACTCCTCCTCAGATGGAAGTTATCTGGGTTATATGAAACCATATCTAAACCCTTCCTCCATCCCACTGTTGTTGGTTATGTGTTTCTTCATTTGCTTTTAAATGGTTAGCAGAAATGAATAAATAAACATTTATTCTCATAACATTATGCAGACTGAGCAGGTTATATTTAGGACTATACATGTATATACTTATACATATGTGCATGTAACAACAATTAATGAAAAAAGAGGTCTTGCATTTGAAAGAGAGCAAGGATGGGTATATGAGAGGGTTGGAGGGGGGAAAGGGAAAAGGGAAATGGTGTAATTATATCATGATCCCAAAAATAAAAGAAAAGGATTTAAATAAAAAGAATACAAAGTTGGGTGGGTAGGGAGTGGGGAGGATCTGGGGGGAATTAGAGGAAAGGAAAATATGAAAAAAATATTGAATGAGACTTTTTATTTTTCAATTAAAATAAATAAAAAGTGTTATTCAGTTAAGAGAATTTTAGTTGATAAACATTCTATCACACCGGGCGGTGGTGACACACGCCTTTAATCCCAGCACTTGGGAGGCAGAGGCAGGTGGATCTGTGAGTTCGAGGCCAGCCTGGTCTACAGGGCAAGATCCAGGACAGGCACCAAAACTGCACAGAGAAACCCTGTCTTGACAAAACCAAAAAACAAACAACAATAACAACAAGAACAACAAGAACAACAACAAAAAACCATTCTTTTGCTCCTGACTTTCTTTAATTAAGGTGTGTTCATGAGCTAAGAAGGGACACATCTACCTACATTCCTAATTTTTGAAACGGAAAGGTAATCACTTTTCCTCGTGGAGGTTTGTAGCAAGAAGTCTCAGGTGCTGTCATATGGGACTCGTGACTCACATCTCACTTAACATCTATGAAAAGAGTTTGTATCTTGGAGTATCAAGGAAGAGGCTCAGGAAATTCCCTTTCTGAGTCAGCTTTAGGTCAACTCATAGCTGGCTGTTCACAGGAGCCGTTTGCTTTAGGCACTGGGACTGGGAATGATGATGTGGGACAGCCTTGTCTGATGGGAAATCACGGAGTCTGACAACTAGCAATGAAGACATATGTATTTAATATATTTTGAGCTTTTTTGGAGGGGTGGGTGATACATGGTCTCTCACTACAACCCAGGATGGCCTGAAATTTACTGTGTGTTTCAGTCTGGCCTTGGGGTTATGGAAATCCTTCTCCCTCATGGTGGTGTGTGGAACTTCCTTCATCCCACTCCCCCTTGCAGCTAGGTTCTTAGAACAATCAATAGACGAGGTTCCCAGCCTCTATGCTGGCGGAGGGTCCTACACTGGGCAAGACAAGTTTGCTGAGACAAAGGATAGCACTAGAGAGTTAGCTCCATAAAATGACATGAGCCACCTTTCTGCCTTCTGTTGGCAGTAGAGACAGAAAGGCCTGAGCTAACCAATCTCTTCTCTGCTAGACAGTGAGGAAGAATGAGCCCTTCAGGCCAACACAGATTGCTAATTTTCTGCAGTCTGAAGCCTTTGCAAAGTTTGCAGCTCGAAGCTAGGTTCCTTCCCATGTATAGTCAGATAAGGAAGCTTATTGGCATGGTGCAGGGTGGCGAGTGCTCTCTTTGGTGCTGTTCCCAGCCACACATCTCCTGTGGGAAAAAGTCTCCCTCCTGGGTGTGATGGTTAACCTTCACCGTCAACTCGACTTAGATTTAGAAATGAATAGAAGACATATTTCTGGGTGTACCTCCGAGGGTGTTTCCAGAGATATTTAACAGGAGACAGAAGATACACACTGAACATGAGTGGTACCATCCCATGGCCTGAGGTACTGGACTGAATGAGAAAGAGAAAGCAAGCTGAACACCAGCATCCATCATGCTTTGCTTCCGGATGAGTGTGGAAAGCAGCCTTATATTTCTGTAGTCATGCCTCCCTGCCATGATGGACTGCATGCCCTCAAATTGTGAGCCTTCCTTTAATTGTTTCTTCAGGTATTTTGTCTCAGCTAAGAAAGTAACAGATACCATGGGCAAGCCAGCCTACCAAATCCTCCAAAGGATCCTGTGTACCTGTTCAGCAGAGGACGGTGCGCAGGCGCCTGCTTCCAGGAGCTGCTCACAGGAAGTGTGCTTCAGATCCTCAAGGAGATGGATTTAACTATTTGTGTGTTTAAGCAGATCTGTGTGAAAGCTCAGCAGAGAATTACTTTTGATTTGAAGGTTCCATCTGCTCCAGCTTGGATATAGTTCCTCCCCTAAACACTCATGTGCTGGAAGTTTCTTTCCTACTCTAACAGTACTGAGAGATGGTGGATCCTTTAAAGGGTGGAGCATAGTGGGAGGAAATTAGATCATTGAGGGAACTGTCCTCAGAAGGGATTAGTGCCCTTCTAGCAGGAGAGCTAGGGTTCTCAGGACTGGCCTCAGTGTTGTAAGTGTGGGTGATTATAAAGTCAAGCACCCACTTTAGACCTCCCCCTATCCCCCTTCATAGCTCACACATGAATTTTTGCCATGTGATGTCATGTACCAGCTGTGCTGAGCATGAGGGAGCTAGCTACTCAACATATGTACTTACGTACCTCCAAAGTCATGAGCAAAATAATATTTTCCTTGTACAGTACCCAGCATCAGGTGGGTAGAGCAGATTGGAATAGAACAGAAAGTGGACCAAGACACTAGCTACACACCCCGAGACTAAGCCCAACTCAAGCGCTCTGGCATGAATGGAGCTCAGTTTCCTCTCTCCAAGGGTCTAGTGCTTTCTTGCTGCTTCCCGTCAGATCCCAAAGTTCACGGAGATGCATGCTATCATTGTGCCCAGGTTACAAGCTGTAGCAGACCAGAAAGGATGCTAGGAAGTAGGCCCTAGAGAATCTAGGCAATCAGAAGTCAGAGGCGAGGAGTTTAGAAGTCTCAGAGAACAGGACCAGATGGGATTTTCTAAAGTCAAGGAAGCAGTCAACTGTTATAAACCCAAGAGCGGCAGAGGAGGAGAAGAAGCTGGTCTGTAGGACAGAGAGCAGCTACTTCTTCCAGTCTCAGTTACCCTCCTGACAGTTTCATGCCCCATCTTCCACGGAGTACAAATAGATCTTAGCACTGAAAATCTGGCTTCTCACCACAGCACATGCAGTTCTCATGCAGTTGGAAAAGGGAGCAACAAATAGCCTTTTATTCTCTGGAGTCTTGCCACCTCCTCTGGGGGACCCCTGAGCGCTCATCTTTATGTGGGCTCCTCTAGGGTATCCCAGAGCCTTCATCTTTGTGTGGGCTCCTCTGGGGGAGATACCCATGCCTTGTGCAGCCTGCTGGATAGAATTCTTTACTATCTGTCTGTCTTCCCTCTCACAGGTAACCAATGCCAGTTTCCCTCTTTTGAGGTATATTAAAATCTGAGGTCAGATCCCTCTTTAAATGCTTATTTGGGTGAGGATCTGCTGCAAAATCCACCTGCCTGAATCTCTGGCTTATGTGGTGGATGCATGTGTCTCTTGCCCATCACATCCTACTTTACGCAAGCCTGCTGCACCCAGGGAAGGGGTACACAGGCAAAAAACAGTGAAAGCTGAGTATGGTGGTACAGGCCTGTCATCCTAGTATTTAGGAGGCTGAGTTAGAAGGATTGCTGTGAATCTGAGACCAGCTTGGACCATTTGGTAAGTTCCAGGCCAGGCTGAGATCCTCAGAAAGGTCTTGTTTTTTTTTTTTTTTAATCAAAGCACCTATACTGTATTCTTTTAATTTAAACAGTGATGTCTTAAATTATTTATTTGTATTTTATGTACATTGGTGTTTTGCCTGAATGTATGTCTGTGTGAGGGTGTCGGATCCCCTAGAACAAGAGTTATAGACAGTTGTGAGCTGCCATGTGGGTGCTGGGAATTGAAACCAGGTCCTCTGGAAGGGCAGCCAGTGCTCTTAACCACTGAGCCATCTCTCCAGCCCCCAAGGTCTTATTTTGATTAAAAAAACAAAAAACAAGGCCAAACAAGGGCTGGGGAGATGGCTCAGCAGTTAATAGCATTGGTTGCTCTTCCAGAGGACCCAGGTTTGATTCCCAGCACCCACATGGTGGTTCACAACCATCTGCAACTCTAGTTACAGAGGATCTTTGGGTCATCAGGCATTGCATTCAAATGACGCACAGACATATATGTAGGCGAAATACCCCCACACATAAAAACAAACAAAAGGGGGAGCGAGGGCGGGGTGTAGTGGTGCTCACCTGTAATCCCAGCCCTTGGGAAATGAGACTGGAGAACCGTGAGTTCAAGGTCAGCCTGGGCTACACAGTGCATTTGAGACCATCCTGGGCTACATAGAAAGGCTACCCTGTTCCCGACAAACAGAAGCTCGGGCAACAATGAGAAAACCAAGCAACAAAAGTGCAACAAACACACACGGTGTCAGCTGCACACTGCCGAACGTGAGAAGTGGAAAGCAACTTCCTCGCTATCTTCTAAAGACAAAGAAAGTCCACCTCCTACTTCTACAGCTACCCAGCTAGAAAGCGCCGGAACCAAAATGCAGGTCCTCTCATTCTCAGGCTGCTGTTCTTTTCCCTGTCTATGTCTCCCCAGTGGTTCTGTCAGACTGTTTTTCCATGATTTTTTCACTGTAACATTAAACACTACTGAAACAAACCCAGGTCTCATCTTCTTTTGCTCATTAGTTTAAAAGACTGTTTTAAGAGAGCAGATCCCATGGTGTGTGCTTTACTACAGTGTGTGTGTGTGTGTGTGTGTGTGTGTGTGTGTGTGTGTGTGTGAAGACTTCCTGCGAACATCTGTTCTGTGTGTTTAAGAATGGGTGTGTAGTGTTGGAGTGGTGTTCAGGTCACTGTTTAGCTAAGGTTTTGCAATGATAAGAAGATGGGATAGCCTTTGCTCTCTGGGGTGGGGGGACCACTTGTAGCTTGTTCACTAGGTGAGTCAATAGTTCTGCCTGCTAGCCGCTCCCCCCAGATGAGAAAATTCAAAGGAGGCTGCAAACTTAATTTCAGGTAATGTGTGCTTTTCTTTAACTTAATGAAAAGTTATGAAAAATATGCATTCATTGTAGAAAAAAATTTAAACACAGACTAGTAAAACAAAAATCCATCATTACTCTCTGTATCTTGTATTATTAACATTTTGATATATTTGTGTGTGTGTGTGTGTGTGTGTGTGTGTGTGTGTGTGTGTGTGTGTTTGTGCGCGCGCGCGCGCGCGCTAGCGGTAGGAAAGGTTGACTTTTTAAAGATTATTTTTATTTTTAATTATGTGTATGCCTGTGTGTCTGTATGTATGTGCACCTGAGTGTAGGTTTCTTTCCTAGGCCAGAAGAGGGTGTCAGATTCCTTGGAACTGTTAAGTTAAGGGTGATTGTAAGCTGCCCTTCACGGGTGCTGGGAACAGATTTCAGGTCCTGTTCCAGAGCAATATTCACTCTCAACCACTGAGCCACCTCTCCAGCGCCACCGTAGAATTTTCTTTTCATTTATCTATTTTGTGTGATGTGGGCATATGACGGTGTACACGGGGAGGTCAGAGCACAACGTTCAGGAGTAGGTTCTCTCCTCCGCCATGTGAGACCTGGAGTCAGACTCAGGTCAAGAGGTTTGCATGAGTGCCTTTCGACAAGCGCCTCTACCTGCTGACCATCTCGTCAGCCAAGGCCGACTTCCTTTACTGAAACTGTTAGGAGACCGAAGGCGCCTTCTTGTTCTAAGGTGGGAGCTGGACTGTGTCAGGCTTCCTCCCTGCAACTCTCTAGTTTCCTTCACAGACATGTTGTTGCAAAAGCCACCAACACTTACCCTGTCTTCTCCTCTTCCTCTCTTCCATTCAGTCCTCAGCCCGACTTGTCTGCATCTCCACTCTCCTGAAGCAACTCACATGCAATCTGTATCTGCACGTGGGTAGATTTTGGTCATCTCAACCTTGCTTTGTGCATGCACCAGGAACATTTCATGCAGTTGACTACTTCCGAACATTTCCCCATATTTTTATTTCTCATGGCTTCCCCTTTTCCTTTTCTACTAGTCATTAATGCCAAGCTACACGTATTTATGGAGCACCTACCATGTAACAGTACTGCTCCAGTGGCTAGAGGCCCAAACACACGCTATCTTGGGGCTTACAGTCAAATCAAAAGTAGTGGGGAGGAGGCCACAATAAGCTAACTGGGACAAAATAACTAGGCAAGATGCAGTGGCACATGCCTTTTATCCTAGCATGGGGGAGGCAGAGGCAGGCAGATTTCTGTGAGCCTGTGGCTATCATGGCCTACGCAGTGAATTCCAGGCCAGTCAAGACTACATTACACAGTGAGATCATGCCTCTAAAATAAAACTATGTTTATATTTGTAATTTATATATATTTGTATATAAATATATGTAATTTTTATATATTTATATTTGTGAATATTTTAGATTTACACTAAATTGTATGTTTGTATATATTAATGTTAAAGCAAAAGGCTGAGTGATATATTTAAGATGGCTAGCGCTTTGAAGTAAAATAAAGGTGAGGAGGAAAATAAATAGACTTGGTAAATATAGTTCTGCACAGTATGGTCATGTAGTAGTTCACTGGAAAGACAGCATTTGAGAAAGGAAATAAAAAAGATGATACTGTAAGCCATATAGATATCTGTGGTTCCAATATAAATGTTCCCTATAACAGTGGTTCTCAGCCTGTAGGTTGTGACCCCTTTGGGGGTCAAATGATCCCTTCACAGGGGCCACCTAAGACCACTGGAAACACATATATTTGCATTACAATTCATAGCAGTAGCAAAATTAGTTATGAAGTAGCAACGGAAATAATTTAATGGTTAGGTGGTCACCACAGCATGAAGAACTGTATTAGAGGGTTGCAGCATTAGGAAGGTTGAGAACCACTGCCCTACAGGCTTATGTATTTGAACATTTATTCCTTAGATGGTGGTATGTTTGGGAGGTTGTGGAACACGTAGGAGGTGGGACATACCTAGAGGAAATGGATCACTGTAGGAAGAGCCTTAAAGGTTATATTCTAGCCTTCATGTCGTCCAAATTTTCTCTGCTTTCTGGATCAACAAACAGTTCTTGAACACTTAGCTACTCCAGACAGATCACTCTGCCATGCCTTCCCAACCATGATGAACCTTAAGTCCCTTGACAATGGGTCAAAATAAATTCTCCCCCATTAAGTGGCTTCTGTCAGGTATTTGTTCATAGTAAAGTAAAAGTAACTAAGGCAGAAAATTTGTACCAAGAGAGGATCCATTGCTGCGATGAGCCTAGCCATGTGGTTCATTTGGAACTGGTTTGCAGGTGGAATGGGGAGAGTTTGGGGCATCCGGTTGCAGAAGCCCTAGGATGCTGTATGCAGAGCTTAGTAGGCCATTCTGGTGGGAATTCAGAAGACCAGAATGCTGATAGAAATGTGGCTAATAAACACTATGCCCCGAGGCTGCAGAGAGAAACAAGGACTATATCAGGAGATGGGCTAGAGGTCATTCTTATATTCTGGAAAAGAATCTGGTTACACTGTGCATGTGACCCCCAAGATTTTAGTGAGGTTTTGTGAGAGCCAAAGTTATGTTTTCAGTTATAATTATTGTGCCTACAAAATCCATAAAATGAAAATGTCTCTAACCTGTAAGGCCCTTGTCCAAGGACAGATACTTCCTGAAATGCTGGAGGCTACTGTTTATAGGAGATAACAAGCAACATGTTTTCACTCCCCTAAGCAAGTTTGCTTACCCAGTTTCACCGGATGTGCTTGATCACATGTGGGCGGGGGGGGGGGGGGGGGGGGGGCGAGATACAGTAGGCAGGAAATACATCAGGATGTACGCCTGCCCCTGATTGGACCTGATGGGAAATCCAGTGGCCTTATGGGGTTGCCTTTTTAAGCCTCTGCAAAATGTGACTCATGTCCATTTTCTGGGATCCCACAAATGGACCTGGCTGGAGTCCATCATACTGGCCAGTATTAAATTAAAGTTTGCTTCAAATTTGACTCAAAATTTATTGTAGTGGCCTTATTCTACCCAGCAGGATTAACAGTTTAATTAAAAAGTAATGAACTAATTAATTCAGTGCAAGAAATTGGAAGACAGCATACTACCCAGGCTGTGATATGGTTATTGCTCACAGCTCTTACGCAGATTTTCAGTGACAAGGAACAGAAAGTAGAGCAGAAATATGAGAAAAATTTGTAGTTTGGTATGCAGAGGAGCATGAGGAAGTTTCAAGTTTCAGACAAGATTGGTGAGGGAAAGCCAGCTACGGTTGTTAAGGAGATTGATGCGATTAAAGAGAAACCAGACACTTTGCAATATGGAAGAACCACCCATCCCATAGAAGGCTCCAGGGCATCAAACTGAAAACTCACTTAAAAAACATGCACTAAAGAAAAAAAAAAAAAGTGCCTGCAAAGATAGAGACTCCAGTGTAAGCTATCTAGGAAAATGTCTCCCCAGGGTCAGCCATAAGCACTTGAAGCCATTGTCAGAAGAGGACATCTTGAGCTGGCAAGAGAGGTGGTACCATCTAATTGGTGCTGATTTTGAAGACATGCAGGATGCAAGAATAACAGGGATAAGGAGGCTTGAGTCAAGGTTTCAGAAAGAAAAAACAAAAACAAAAAAATCCAATCAACAAAGCTAGATAGTGTGCAGCAGAATCAGACTACCTTCTAGAAGGCCCCAAGAGGCCAATGTGCAAAACTCATAAGATGACGCTTAAGCTACAGTAGAGACCCTAAGATGATGGAGATGCCAGGAATATAGAACATGTGCTGAGGAAAGCTGCATGTACCAGGTGTAGCCAGTCCAAGAGAAAGGTTACAAAATGTTGCAGATGAAAGGGCTGTAGGATGGGACTATCCAAGCCTATGGGAGCCCACATGATGCCACCACAAACCCTGAATGCCTCATAGCAACCCAAGGTTTAATGTTTGCCCTATAGGATTTCAGTCTTGCCTTGGTCCAACCCTTTCTTGCTATTTCTCAATTCCTTCCTCCTGTTTGGAATGGGGATGTTCACTATTTGTCATTATATATTGAAAGTATCTAATTCCCCTTTTCATTATGTTAAATTTAAGTCTCAAAAGTGCTTTGAACTTTTGCTTTTCTTTTGATTGCCCTAAATTGTTCAGTGGGTATGAACTTTACAAACATTATGTGTATTAGATGGTAGAGCTGGAGAGTATTGAACCTTCTCCAGTCTGCACAATGAGAGCCACTAATAATGTGGTGGAGTTTGTGGCCCTTTCTAAAGTCCAGGCTCCTGCATCCTGCAGATGACAGCCCACACATCTCCCTGTGCTTGTGGACTGGTTTGGTGATCCACTGCATGTCAGCCTTTCTTCTGATAGCTTTACAAAATGGATCAATGAAGATCATTTCAAAGAATTCATAAGTTGTATCCTTAGGAACTGGGCATTTATAGCCACCACAGAGGACATGAATCCTACACATGGCACATGACATAACCTTGCTAGGCCTTGAATCCCAGCCTGCCTGCTTTATCGGGCTGTGTGGCATGGGGAGCCCTGTGCAGTGCAGAAGCTGCTAGCTGCAGACCCTCAGAAAAAAGTACATCACATCTGACTACTTCTTCTGCTGCAGCTCTTTGATGTATTTGTATTCACCCATCTTCGCTCACTTGATGGCTGCCACCAGACCTGGACTTTCAACTTTTGAATGATGCTGAAACTCTTAATACCATGGGGAATTTTGAGGTCGAACTGGAGATGATCTGCATTTTGAGATGGCCATGAACCTGTGGGGACAGGAGTAGATGTTATGGTTTGAATATAAAATGTTCCCACAGGCTCATATGTTTAAATATTTGGTCCCTAGCTGGAGGAACTATGTGGGGTAGCTGGAACTTGTCAAGGTACTGGGGCACACCCGGAGGACATGGGTCAACAGGGGTGGGCTTTAAGCATTATAGCTCAAGCCCCATTTCTGGATGTAGCCCCGGTTGGTACCATGAACTTTTTTTTTTTTTAAAGATTTATTTATTTATTGTATATATAATGCTCTGTTTGCATGTATACCTGCAGGCCAGAAGAGGGCGTCAGATCTCATTACAGATGGTTGTGAGCCACCATGTGGTTGCTGGGAATTGAACTCAGGACCTCTGGAAGAGCAGCCAGTGCTCTTAACCTCTGAGCCATCTCTCCAGCCCCCCCCCCCTTTTTTTTAATATAATCTTTTTTTTTTTAAGAATTATTTATTTATTTATTACATATACAGCATGTATGACTGCAGGCCAGAAGAGGGCACCAGATCTCGTTACAGATGGTTGTGAGCCACCATGTGGTTGCTGGGAATCGAACTCAGGACCTCTGGAAGAACAGTCAGTGCTCTTAACCTCTGAGCCATCTCTCCAGCCCACCATGAACATTTCTGTGGCTCCAGACTAAGCCCTATACACACCTTCCCCACCAAGATGGGCTCTAATTCACTGAGCCAAAATAAATCCTTCCTCTCCTTCTTCTGTCAGGTAATATGGTGCAGTGATATAAAAATAACACAGCTGAAGAACACTGTGCTTTTGTTTTGTTCTAATTTGGCTTATTTTTGAGGGGGAGTCTTTGCTAGCTAGGGTGTTGTAATAGAGCTATGTCCTGTGGGTATGGCATGACTGTCAGCTATCATGAAGTAGATGATAATAGCTTACAGGATACAAGTATGGCCACGAGATAAACAGAACGACACACTGACAGCTAGGTCTATGTTGATGGTAAGAAGGATGTTAACACCCCCTCACAGAAAGAATGGGGTGAGAGCAGTCACAAAGGCCCTTCTGAGACACGGGTCACCATTCACTCCTGCTCTCTAGATGTGGTCTTAGAGGATGAGTGCTAGAGGTTGACTGGAGGTTGGGACTCAGGGGAACAACTCTTTG